TGTGGCTCTTTCAAATATTTTTAATTAAAAATAGACAAAGATAGTACTTTGAACCAGATAAAGCAGGGGAAAAAATATAATATTTTCTTTTTAATAGTTATCTACAGAACTCAGCATAGCTGATTTGGAAATATTTGGTAATAATTTTAAATTAATGAGAATGGAAGTGTTTTAATCAATTAATGGTATTATAGACCTTTACATATGGCCATATATAACTTTTTTTCCCTTTGAAGTGTTCAGTTTTCAGAATGTAGCTATATTTCCATTCTTATGGTTGGGACAAAGTATTTTTAGTTGACGAAAATAATACATCATTTACATTTTGGAGAAATGTACTGCCTCTTCTGGCTATGTGGCCCATTTTTGGTTAAGATAAGCAAGAAGATACGTAATTATGAGCTGAAGAGGTTATTTTTCTGGTTCCTTTTTTATAGATTCAGAAAGTTTGTAACAAAAAACTGTGGGAAAGGTATACTCACAGGAGAAAAGAAGTTTCTGAAGAAAACCACAACCATGCAAACGAAAGAATGCTATTTCATGGTAAGATTCTTTTCCCCCTACCCTGTCACCATTCTCCACATTAGAATAGTTTTTGTCAGGTATAAAATAATCATGAATCTGTATAGTCCTCATGTCATTTTTTTTTCTTTATTGATTTTAGAGAAAGAGAAAGGGAGAAGGAGAGTTAGAAGCATCGATGAGAGAGAACATTGATTGGCCACCTCCGGCATGCCCCCCACTGAGGATCAGGCCCACAACCTGGGCATGTGCCCTGACCAGAAATCGAATCAGCGACCTCTTGGTGCATGGGTCAACGTTCAATCACTGAGCCACACTTTCCGGGCCTCATGTCTTTTTTTTTTTTAATCCTTACCGAGCATACTTTTGCATTCATCTTCAGATAGAGCAGGAGGAGCGGGGAAGAGAGAGAGAAACATCGATGTGAGAGAGACACGTCGACTGGTTGCCACCCACACAACCCCATCTGGGGCTGGGGACAAACTGCAATCAATGTATGTGCCCTTAGCAGGAACCGAACCTGGGACTCTAATCTGCAGGCTGATGCCCTAACTGCTGAGCCAAACCGGCCAGGGCCCTCATGTCATTTTTAAAAAGTAAACATTAAACCTGGCCAGTGTCGCTCAGTGGTTGAGCATCAACCCATGCACCAAGAGGTCACTAGTTTGATTCCAAGTCAGGGCACATGCCCAGGTTGTGGGCCTAATCTCCAGTGGGGGGGCATGCAGGAGGCGGCCAGTTGATGTCCTCTCCCATCAGTGTTTCTTCTCTCCCTCTCCCTTCTTCTCTCTCTAGCAGTCAATAAAGAAAAAAATTTTCGCCCTGGCCGGTTTGGCTCAGCGGATGGAACGTCAGCCTGCGGACCAGAGAGTCCTGGGTTCAGTTCCCACTAGGGGCACGTACCAAAAAGAAAAAAGAAAAAAAAAATTTTAATAAAAAGAAATAAACATTATTTCTATAAATTTTACATTTATATTTGTATTTTAAACCTCTTGAATTTGTATATTTTATAATAGTTTATAAATAGAATTACTGTAATGGAAAAAATATAGAAATGGGAAGGTTGACTAATCATATTTTCTTTTTTTTCTTTATATAGATTTTGCTTATTATGATCACTCTGAGAAATTGTTTTATTTTTAACTAGTTGATTGGATTAATTTAAAATGAAATCTGAAGATCGCCTCAGAAGAATATATGCATCTTATTCTGGCATTGACTCTAAGTGTCCAAACTATATTTAACTTTATTGTCAAGAGCCATTGTCATTAAACTTAGGTTTTCTGAGAACTTTGGTGAATTGAGAGCATCACCATTATTTACCATTCTTGACATTTCCTGTGTTTTTTAATGTTGCAGGTTGGCAGGTGTTGATTGTTCTTTCAAGTTTATCATAAATATGAATATAGATGTTAATGTAGTATTTATCAAGTCTTCAAGCACATTACCCATAGTAGCTCCAATCTGTTCCTTCATTTGGCCTTGATTGCAGAAAAATTTTAGAGACCTATCAAGTTCTATAAAACACAGCATTTAAATTTCACAGTCCTGCCCAGCCAGTGTGGCTCAGTGGTTGAGCATTGGACCAGGGACTAAGAGGTCCCAGATTGATTCCTGGTCAGGGCACATGCCTGGGTTGCAGGCTTGATCCCCAGTGTGGGCCATGCAGGAGGCAGCCAGTCAATGTTTCTCTCTCTCTCTCCCTTCCTCTCTCTCTAAAATCAATTTTTAAAAAACGTATTTAAAAAAAATAAATTTTACAGCCCCTGGAAAAACATCTATAGCACAATAAAATGGTGCATAATATCGTAAATGGTATTTTGCATTCCAAAACCTTAAAAATCATTATGATAATCCGGCCAGTGTGGCTCAGTGGTTGAGCTTCGACCCTTGCGCCAAGAGGTTGCCAGTTCAATTCCCAGTCAGGACACATGCCCAGGTTGTAGGCCCAGTCCCCAGTGGGGGGGTTGGGGGCATGCAGGAGGCGGCCAATTGATGTTCTCTCTCATTGATGTTTCTATCTCCCTCTCACTTCCTTTCTCTCTAAAATCAGTAAAGGGAAAAAAATCATGATAATCTCTTGGCACAGAGCAAAATATTTATGTATTGACTTAATGAATGGTTTTTCTATTTTATAATATAAATGGTTTTAGTTTTTCCGATTTCAAATAAGTTATTCTGTTCTTCAGTATTTCTGTAAGTGGAATTCATTGTATTTTTCTGTCCCCTTTTTTTTTTTATCCTCACCCGAGGATATTTTTCCATTTTTTGTACAGATAGAGTGGGAGGGAGAGAGAGAGAGAAACATCGACGTGAAGGGACACATCGAGTGGCTGCCACCCGCACAACCAACCAGGGCCGGGGACAAACTGCAACCGAAGTACATGCCCTTAGCGGGAACCAAACCCGGGTCTCTCCAGACCGCAGGCTGACGCTCTAACTGCTGAGCCAAACTGGCCAGGGCTTTTTCTGTCCCTTTTTGAATGGGGACACTGACGTTGATGAATCAGTTAGTTAAACTGTCTTTCTTTACACACATGCAAGGAAGAAAGAGAAAGAAGTCAATATGCAGGGAATGAAGGAACATCACTTTTGCAGATGGAATCTTTTAAAGCAGGTGATGAAAGTCAGAGCCATTGGAAGAATAGGAGAGACGGTATAAAAAGAATGAACATGAAAAGACCACTTTGGCCACTTTTGATATCTTTAAAAAAAAGTACTTGCCTGGCCAGCGTGGCTCAGTGGATGATAATACCACAAATGGCAGGAAATGGTAAATCAAGTTAAAGTATTTTAATGTCCCAGCATTGTCAGGGAAGTAGTAAAAATAATAATTTAAGGCTGTATTGAGGGTTAACTTGCGTTCCTCCAAAAAGATATGTTGAGCCCAGCTGGTGTGGCTCTGTGGATTGAGCGTGGTCCCTAGACAGAGAGAGGTCCTGGTTCAGTTCCCAGTCAGGGCACATGCCTGGGTTGTGGGCTCAGTCTCCAGTGAGGGACGTGCAGGAGGCAGTCAATCAATGTTTCTCTCACATCTGTGTTTTTATAGATCTCTCCCTTTCTCTGTAAAATAGCAATAAAAACATTTTTTTTAAAGTACATAGATATGGTGTCCTTGTAAGACCTAATTAATTTAGCCTTGTTGTGAATTATAAGATTCTTGGTTCTGATTTGTATGGATTTAGGGTCTGGAATTTGATAACTCCTGCACTGATATTTCAAGTGCTCTGTTTGTTGTTCTAGTTAAATAGACATGTGTCTTTATATTGGCAGGTGAACGACCACCACCCTATTAGAACATTAATTGACTTTTGCAGTTTCTCTAAAATAGTTACTCTAAAGTAGTGAACCAGCTGACAGTTAACTTATTATTCTTGTTTTCTGATTTTGCTTTATTGTGGTAGTGGTGTATGTATGTTGAAGAATTGTCTAAGACACTTTAGTTTTTGTTCATTTTCTTCTAAGATAATTTTAAATTGTCATTCATCTGTATGTATTTTAGGGTCTCCCTTTGTGAATGCAATTATCCATAAAGGCTTCGATGAAAGGCATGCCTACATAGGTGGGATGTTTGGAGCTGGGATTTATTTTGCTGAAAACTCTTCTAAAAGCAATCAGTATGTATATGGAATTGGAGGAGGTACTGGGTGTCCAGTTCACAAAGACAGATCTTGTTACATTTGCCACAGGTAAGAGATCACTTGTTCTCATTTATTTTGTTTGTTTGGTGTGGTTTTTTTGGTTTTTGATGGTTTTTCTTTTCTTTTTTGGTTTTGTTTTGTTTGTTTTATGAGAGTAAGCGAGACAGAGAGAGGAGGGAGGGAGAGGTTGTTTTATGAGAGTAAGCGAGACAGAGAGAGGAGGGAGGGAGAGGAATATCAATGAGAGAGAGAGAGACATCAGTTGGTTGCCTCTTGCGTGACCCCAACTGGGGCAGGGAATCAAACCTGCAACCCTTTGGTCCATGGGCCAGCGCTTTAACTGCTGAGCCAAACTGACCAGGGCTTCTCATTTATTTTGATAAAAATCAGATGAGAATTGGTTTCATATTTGAAAATTTGGGGATGCAAGGCTAGGTGTTTGAGGTTTCTTTTGGCCCTCTCACTAGTTAGAATAACTAATATTTATTTAATGATCTTTATGGGCCAAGCACAATTCTAAGCACTTGATCTGTTTAACTCATTTATTCATTAGTACATTTGGTGCTTTAAAGAATATGGAGTAGAACATATCATTGGGCATGAAAGAGATTTTATTGTAGCTCTTGAATATTGTGAGACTGTGGACTCTAAAAAATTGTAGTATTTCCATGCTAAAATGATATTACTTGCCAAGCCTAATTATTTCATGGCACTGTATAAGGGAGTCTGCCTTCCAATTATGGTATGCTCTTAGTTTGTGATATTACTACTTGAAAAGTTACAATAAAACACATCAATCCTTTAGAAAGCACATTATTATCAAGTAACTACTATTGTGTGCTCACTTCTACAGCACATGTACTAAAATTGGAACAACACAGAGACAGTTAGCATGGCTCCTGTGCAAGGATGGCATGGAGATTAATGAAGTGTAAATAAGAAAAAGAGGGGGAGCCCTGGCTGGTTTGGCGCAGCAGTTGGAGTGTCGGCCTGTGGACCAAGGAGTCCCAGGTTCGGTTCCCTCTAAGGGCTTGTACCAAAAAAGGGGGGGGGGAGGGAAAAGTAAAGAGTAGTTACTCTGAACTTAACCCAGTTGTTAAAATCTTTCTAATAACTTGGCTCTAATTGATAAATTCCTGATAGGTAAAGAAATCATTTTTTCTCATTTGAAAAATCGAGTAAGATTAACTATTGAGATTTATCCTACAGTGAGGGCACTGCTTATAAAGATCTAGAGCAGAAGTTATCAAACATTAGCAAGCTTCGGAATTACCTAGAAAGGTTAGTTAAAATGCAGATTCTTAGGCCCTACCTTCTGAGTTGCCGATTTACTAGATGTGGGTGGGCCCTAGAACTTGGATTTCTACCAAGTTTCCTGATGCTTCTGATCATTGATCTAGATAGGAAAAAAAAACCCTAGAGCAGTAGTTCTTAGTTTTAGCAGCACATTGGAATCACCCAGGAAGCTTTAAAAACTAATGTTTGTGTCCTACCCTCAGAGATTCTCATGTAATTGCTCTGGCATACAGTCTGGGCATTAGGATTTTTAAAGCCTTCCCAGCTGATTTTTGAGAGATTGCCAAGGTGAAGAACTATAAGCCTTGAGAGAGAGGTCTGTTTTTGTTCTTGTTGTTTTCCCCCTAAATTTAGATTTGTATAGATTTCTGAATTCAACCCTCCTGGGTATGACATCCCACCCATTTCTATTTTAGATCTATAAATTGGACTGGATAGGACATTCATACTATCTTGAGATTTTATAAATTGAACACTTCTGTTTTTACTTGTATTATCTGGAGGCTAAATAGCTCTGGTTATTAGTATTAAGCAATGTTCTAATACCTCTTCTAAACTGTCTTTGGAGCAGAATGTTTGGTTGTTTGAAAACTTAATATTTCTATATTCTGGATTATCATGGGACTAATTGTAACTGTAATAGATTATCTATTAGAGCCCTAGCCAGTTTGGCTCAGCAGTTAGAGCGTCGGCCCGCAGACCAGAGAGTCCCAGATTCGGTTACCATTAAGGGCACATACCTCGGTTGCAGTTTGTCCCCAGCCCCGGTTGGGGTAATGTGGGTGGCAGCCACTTGATGTGTTTCTCTCACATTGATGTTTCTCTTCCTCCCTCTCCCTCCTCCTCTATCTAAAGATAAATGCAAACATGTCCTCGGTGAGGAGATAGATAGATAGATAGATAGATAGATAGATAGATAGATAGATAGATAGATAGATAGATAGATGATAGATAGCTCCATCCTCAGGTGAGGATTAAAAAAAAATCTATTAGAAATGCTAAGAAGGGCATATTTAGAATTAAAAGTATAGATAGCATCTCTTGGGAGAATAGAATCATCAGTTTAGTCAACCAAAATCTCCTGTTCCCTCCTTAAAAATAAGAGACAGAAATAATGAAGTAACTGAAGGGTGGGTTGAGGGAAGACAGACATAGTTAATTGAAACTAAGGAAGGCCAGTCACATGCCTAAGGAGAATGGGAAAATAACCTACTTAACTTCTGGTAAAGGAAGACCTAGTTGAAGAAGTAAAGTTTTTGCTGAAACCTGCAAAAATGTGTTAGCCAGTTGAAGAGTGGTAGAATAGATACCATTCTGGATGGTAGAGGGAATAGTATACTATGTATCATGGCCATGGGTAAGAAAGTTTGACCTATGTGAAGGAAGAAAATGTGTCTGCGGCATGAAAAACACCAGATAAGATTAGAGAATTTGGCGACATTGTAAGGGATTTGGATTTTGTCCTAAGTACAGTGAGCAGCCTCTAAAAGGGTTTAAGCAGAAAAGTGATGTAATCTGATTTGTGTTTTGTGTTCTTTCCTAAATTACTGGTTGCTTGGATGGAAAATAGTTGAGACATGCATTAGAATAAAAACAGGAAGACTAGTTCAGAGGCCGTTGTTATAGCCCAGGTGAAAATTTAAGAAAAGAGAATGGATTGCAAATATATTTTGAAGGTAGAATCCACTAGAGTGAGTTGGAAAAATGTCCTCTTTGCAAGTCACTTCATGGAAGCCCCTTAAACCTCCTCCTCCCTCCCACTTGAGCTATGGTTTGTGCTTTTGCTGGGATACAAACAGGATGGCTGAGTCTGCACATCTATAAGGTTACTACATTTTCAGGCTTTATAGTTAATGAAAGTGATAAATTCTTTCATTAATGAGAACAGTAGAAGACATTCTTACAAAGTTCTTTTAACGGTAAAAATGATAAAAATCAAATGTTTATGTATAAATGCATTAAAAAGCTTATGCAGTGTACACAAATCAAGTTGTCATATGCTACCTTGTAGTCAAAGAGATCTTTTCCTTTTCACGCTATAGGCAGCTGCTCTTTTGCCGGGTAACCTTGGGAAAATCGTTCCTGCAGTTCAGTGCAATGAAAATGGCACATTCTCCTCCAGGACATCATTCAGTTACTGGTCGACCCAGTGTCAATGGCCTAGCATTAGCTGAATATGTTATTTACAGAGGAGAACAGGTAATTTTATTTTATTTGTTCATCTTCAGAAATACTTTAGAGCCAGACTTGAACCTCTTCTTACTAATCTCTTAAATTAACAAGGTATGTTGCCTTAAGAAGTGGGTTTCTTTTTTATTTTTTTGGAAATAATGTCAAACTTACAAAAAAGTTGCAGAATTAGTAAAGAGAATTTTCTTATGCCCTTTACCCAGATTTTCCAAATGTTAACATTTTAATATTCTCCTTTTATCATCAGTCTCTCCCTCCCGAGTGTGTGTTTGTATATTTTTTTCCTGAACTTCTTGAGAATGCAGTTCCTTTACCGTTAGGAACATAGGCATGTTTCTTTACCCTTAAATATGTACTTCAGGTATATTTCTGGAAAACAAGGAGATGATAAATTATTAAAATCAGGAAAATACCATTATATCTAACCTGCAGGCCTTATTCGGATTTTGCCAGTTATATTGAATTTTATTTTCAGCTTCTCTAAAATATAATTAATCAGAATCCTATGTTTAGTAGTTAACCTGTGTATAGCAAAGAAATATGTAATTCCTTCTTGCTCTTAGTGACACAGATCCAGTCAAAAGCATCTCTAGATTGTGTTGTCAGTTGGGGATATGTATCAGAACCACTTAAGTTATTAAGTTATTAAAAACAGACAAACACATACTTAGTACTCATTCCAGACCTGCTGATTCAGAATCCAAGGGATTGGAATCAAGGTAAGGATGTTTTGAGAAGATGCTTTCACATGACTCTGATCCACAGCACTGAGTTAGAACCTCTTCCCTAGAGCTTAGGAATGCTTATGGTAAGCCTCCTTTTCAAATAATTTGTTTACCAATATTTGAATTAATCTTTCTCTTCCAGGCTTATCCTGAATATCTAATTACTTACCAGATTGTGAGGCCTGAAGGTATGGTTGATGGATAATTATATTAATTAGGAAACTAATTCCACTGAACCTAAAATCATCGAAAGAGCTGGTGGCCTCTTAATTTTTACTGTTTTGCTGAGAAAAATCATCTTTTTCAACAAGCCTGTGGCAAAAGGATAAAAAATGTGAAAGAAGTTTTAACATTCTGACTTGATAAAGCTTTAATAATGTACAGTGTTTTCTAAATAGTTCCTGTTTTTTCAGCACTTTAACAGATGCCATTCCAGGTTAAAACTGGGTTTGTCTGTACTAAATTATGAACAGAGTTAACTTGAATCTTTTATACATTATGCATTGATTCTAACAGAAACTGTAATCCCCTCAACAGAACTCATTTTACTAATACATTTCTGTGTTCTTTAAAACACAGCATTTACACTGAATACAATTTCATTTGTAAAACTGTAAATAAGAGCTTTTGTACTAGCCCAGTATTTATTTACATTGCTTTGTAATATAAATCTACTGTTTAGAATTGCAGCAGTTTACAGATTTTTTTCCATGCGTACCGCTCATCTGCACTTTTTCCTGCATCATCATGACTGAGTGATCTTTACATTTGATTTCTGAGGCTGTGTTGAGTTTTCAGCAGACTTTGTCTGTTGGGAAAGATTTATTTATCACATTTAACTTGTGGATGGAAGCATTTATCTCTCATTAGAAATCTTTCCCATTTAAGAGCCTGTTTCATGAATCTCTAGGGATTTAATTTGTACTACCTTTGTATGTGTAAGATACATTCCAAAGAGTTCTAACCATAATAGTCCCGATTATTAAAGATGCTTTTTTACTGGCATTAGACTCTGGGTTTCACATTGGAAACTTTTCTCATGTCATTTTGTGAAAATTAAAGCAAGTGCTTTTATATATTTTTTTTTAGAAATGTTAAGTCTTGCCACTGAAAATTATGGTGTTCTTTTCATGGAATATAAATAGGAAGTTAAATTTCACAGGTGGGAAGTATAATCTTGAATAATTTTCCAATATGTTCTAATCACTATAAATGTAAACCGAAAAAAATGGGAGTGGGTGGCTTTTTGTCCTAAGTTTTTTTTTTTTTTTTCCCTGTTCTTTTTCCTTGGCCTTATTGTTATACTTGTAAGCCAATCTATACACAGTAGGCAAGCTACACCCAGAGCGTGAAGTGTAGGTGTCCCAGTTCTCTCCTGGCCTCCTGCATGGGTAGGTGCCGTGAGAAGGGTGCTTTCTGCTCTGGGTTGCCTCATCATGACATTGCACCCAGTTGGAAATATGCTTTGTGCACCACTTGGTAACCAGGCTTGTTTGGCAGCTGTGGAGAGAATGTTATTCCATGAAATGCCATTCCTACTTTCTAATGCAAACTGTCTTTTCCATGGAAAATGCTAAAGCATCTTGGTACAGAGGCATGAGTTACAGTTTAGAGGTCTGTCTGTTGACTCTAACTTCCTCATAAGGCAAGATTTTTACCCACTTAAGTCTTTGTAAATGAGGATGTTCCCAATTACTCTATACCAATTTACCTTTGTTTTACATTTTTATTCA